CTTTGGCGAGACAAATTCATCTTTCGCCCAACGACCCTGCGCTGGTCGCATGATGTTCGTCTGTTGTTTTCGGGTGTGGGGGTGAGCACCAACCCACGCAAACGTAATGATATGTGTACACCCGCCCATCACCGCAGGACCACGCGCCCGCCCGTGCTGCACTGCTCCACCTTGAGCTGTGCTGCAAAGGCCGGAGCCCCGCAGCCATGCCTGGGGCCTGCGTGGGCCTGGCAGCGCAGCGAGTTTCAAAGCCGCAGCCCTCTGCTGGGACAGCACCCCTCCCTCGGGCGGCAGCAATGCCAATACGGCTGGCCATGCCGGCGACCGTCCCGCAACTGCTGCAGCCGTGGCCTCCCCCCCACTTTGGCAAGCTGCATCAAATGCTCGCCGCGTTGCCTATGGTCACCGTCGCCCCGTCATATGCATTACATAAATTCAAAACACAAGGACCGCCAGGCGGCGCAATAGCAAATGTCAAGATCAGCCGAATGTGAACTATACACTTTTCGTAAAAGCACACTTGCGCGACGGCGCACACACAGGCAAGACAGCGCAGCACCGCGCAGCGCCACTCAGTATGGTGAGTACCCGCGGCCGCGCCCGCGCCCGCGGTAACCGCCACGCCCCCGGGGCACATAGCCGCCGCCGCGGCCGCCGTAATAGCCGCCTCCGTAACCGCCGCCGTAACCGCCGTAGCCGCCGTCGCCGCCGTAGCCGCCGTAACCCCCGCGGCCCCTGCCCCGGCCGCGGCCACGCGCCTTCAGGCCCGGCACGTTGGTGCGCTTCCGAAGCACCTGGGATTGAGAAGACGAACAGGCATGCAGCGTCGGCGCGGCGAGGTGACGCATCAGCACCTAACAGGCGCGCAGCACGTGAGCGTCAAGAGGCTGCCCGCGTCCGCTGACCACCACACGAGGCCCTGTGTTTCCGCGACGGCAGCACACCTGGCGGGAGAGGGCCCCTAAATTCACACACGCGTTCAAAAAACGCGGCCCAGCCCCTCCCCCGGGCCTGCACCGACCTTGATGGCGCGGCCCCTGATTTCTGACGCGTCCATGGTCAGCGCATTGTCCACCGCGTCCGCCTCCAGAAATTCAATGTAGGCGAAGCCCTGGGTGCGAGGTGGTGTTTAGCAGCGATGCGTGATGAGTGAAATCTGTCAGGCGTTCGTGCAGCTCCGACAACTCGTCGTGCTTTGGATCAGGGGTGGTTTGTATTAGGTTTGAAGTTCGCAGGTCACGTTTGCACGGCTGGAGGACTGCCGACGAGCACAAGGAAACGCCACACAAGTGCCCATGAGCTTGCGCATGGGTGCACAGGCCCCACACAACACACACACACACACACACACACACACGCACACACACACATCACACGTACCACCTGCGTGCATGCACATCTACACGCACACGCTCACGCTCACGCTCACGCTCACGCACACGCACGCACGCATGCACACGCACACGCACACGCACGCATCACGCACACAAACACCAGCTTCACACACACCTTGGGGTTGCCGTAGGGGTCTGTGAGGATGGTGACCCGGTTGACAGTCCCGCAGCCTTGGAAGTGCAGCTGCAGCTCCTCGGGGGTGGTCCCATAGTCCACATTGCCCACGTAGACGCTGCGCAAGTTGAGTGGCCGATCGTGGCGCGGGGAGGGGGGGGAGGGTGAGGCGGAGTGCATGTGGGGACGAAAGCAGTGCGTGTGCGGGGTCCAAGGGTGCAAGCGCGGCATGCGTGCGGCGTGCTTGCGCAGGCATGTGGCGCGAGCGGCAGTCTGAAGGAGCATGAGCGCTCGAGGAGGAGGGAGCAATCTCTCCACCGCGCCCCGCAGGACAGGCGGGAGGGCCAAAGCAAATAAACAAGACGACAACAGCCTGCTGCCCGCCACCCCACTGCCCGCCTCGCCATGCAACCACGATCGGACCCAGCGCTGCCTCGCCCTAACCCCATGCGCCCACCTCCTCGAATCCGCCTCCTGCTTGGCCGCCAGCTCCGGGTCCGTGGCACCGCCTGCTGCCGCGCCCGCGGCTGCCCCCACATCCAAGACACCTTTGGCCTTCGCAGGTATACAGGCACGGCCGCAGCGCGCGGGCGCTTGCGTTTGAGCTTATTTGCAGCGGCAGTCGCCGGCGCGGAAGCGCAGGCGGCGTGCTTGGGAAATGGCGGCGAGGAGAGGCGCACTGACGGTGGCAGCGGCTCGCCGCCTTGCGCTGCATTGCGCATCTGCCATGTTGGCGATTGGGCCGGTGTGTATATGCGCGCGGCCTGCTGGCGGCGCCGAAGCGTGCGGCGGACAACAACACTGACGAGCCGCCGCATGCCTGCAAAGGGCCTACTGCAGCCTCGTCCGGTTATTCTGACGCGGCAAGAGGCTCTTTACAATAATTTGGTCAATGCTGATTGATCTGGGGGAGTGGGCGGCGGCCGCCCCCGCACCTGCTGCTCCTTGAGCCGCGCCGCCTCCTCCTCCATCTCAGCCAGCTTGCGGCGCATGGCGGCCAGCTCCTGGAGGTGATGTCAGCATGACGTCATCCGCGGACGCGGCGGGGATCGAGGCGATGCGAAGTTCGGCGGCGGCGGCGGCGTTCGGCACAGTTTTTTTTGAAAGTTTTTTTTTGGTGCACTTTGGTTGTTCTTTTTTGTGCTGATTTTTTTGTGTGCCATATTTTTAGCCAAGCCGAGCCGAGCGCGCTGCGGACGCCGCAGCGCGGCTGCGCGTTGGGGCGGGGGCAGGGCCGAGCGGCGCAGGGAGCGTCGGCATCCGGGTGGCGCATACGCATGTGTGCATAAGTGCCCGTGTTCGCGCCGCCCTGGGGTGCGCCGCGTCCCATGAACTCAATTCCTACTGTTAGAGATCCTGTCTGGCCCCAGGATCTGCATGGCCCTTGCTACCGATCCCAAGCATTTGACGAGCGCAGCAAAGCAGCGCAGCGACATGCATGGCGCACGGCGGGCTGCACCACATCATGCTCAAGCCGGTAGCCCGACATCACAGGAAGCGGGAGCGTTCCCCTGCTTTGCTTTCTGTTGAACTCACGTCCGCCGTGCCGTCGCCCTCGTCCATCCCCTCCGCGGCCCCGTCCTCCATGTACTCCTCCTCAGCCACCTCCTCGTAGGCCTGCTCTGTGTCTGCCATGCTGCTAATGTTCGTGGAAGTCCTAGCTTGGGCCTGATTACCGCACGACGAGTGCGTCACAGATCAGACTGATGGGTAGATGCAATCAATTGACCGTACCGTAAATGTAAACTTCAGGGAGTGCAAACATGAGCGACCGCTGCTTGCACAAGCTGCACCTGCGGACCTGCTTGGGGCAGCGCCGGCATCTGGCAGTGCGCCAGCAGCTGCAGACCTTTGTCATACTGCCCAGTCATGCACTTGCACACAGCCCCCGCGACACATTGACGATCTGTTCTTTTGCGTGGATCATGCAGTGCCGCGCCGCACAATTCGCACCCAAGGAGCCGATACCCAGTCCCATGCTACCCCACCCGCTACGCCCAACGCAGACTCCAGTCCAGCTGCCACAGTAGCGAGGCCAAGCCCGGTACAGGTGATCACAGCATTGCAACACACCCGAATCGTCCGACCGCACGTTTCCACCGACCCAGTATTGTCGGTCAACCCAGCCGTTGCCCAGGCCGAAGCACAGTGCAGCATCTGTTGTGGTGCTCGTGTCAACTCTGCCAAATGCGCGGCCCCGTGACTCGCCTGCCGCCCCTTCGACTGCTTATCCTGTCGGTTACCAGGACATAAACAGCCGACGAAATTGAAGGAGCGGGCAAAGCAACTGCCTTGTTGGGGTGGGCCCAGCTACAGACAAATGCCCGCTTCAACAGCCGCCAATAATCCTGTTTGTCCCATTCACACGCACGTCGCCAACACACTGACAGCAACATCACAAGCATGCAAAAGCTTGGGTCAATGCGTCAGCAACCAGCTCGCCCCATCTCCGGCAAGTCGGAGCGACTCAAGGAACTGCGACTTACAATTGACAACTGACAACCGACAACCGACATCAGTGATCAACGTGCCGACGCGCTTGGCTGGTGCAGCCCGTCACGGCTGGCTCAGGTTGACCAGCACGGCCAGCGTGAGTACGATCGCAGTCACGATTAGGTAAGCCTGCGCAATCCCAACGACCTCGTCGTCCTGCCGCCCCTGCACGCGCCCCAGCCGCGCCGCGCGGACGCGCGCCCAATAGTCCCGCACCTCCCGCCCGCTCATGCGGCCAAAGTCGACGTCGTCGGGCGGGAGCCGGGAAGCTTCCTCGGCGGCGGCTTCCCGGCGGGCGCGGCTGCGGGAGCCCTCGAGGTCCACGCCCATGCGCTGCAGCTGGAGGGGCACCATGCAATAGGGATGTGGCATTTTAAGGGGCATGGGCGATACGATTTGAGATGACAGTACAGGGTCGCTTGCGCTCCAGAAGGCTGTGCGGCGCGCAAGGTCCGGGCGCAGGCGCTGCCTTGTCAGCAGGGGTGGCAGCCGGGCGCGCGCGCATGCGGTGCATCCCCTGTGGCCAGTTGCGTGCAGGTGCGGCGGATGTCGCTGTGGGTGTGCGGTGCCTGGGTGATCACCTGCTCGCGGAACTCCTCTTTGGGCGTCTGCCTGAACGCGCCCCCCACAAACGGCCAGGGGAACCTCCGCTGCCCCTCCTGCTGCCCCTCCCACTGCTCCCGCTCCTCGGGCGACATCTGGGCCTGCTGCTCCCGCAGCCGCGCGTCCGCCTGCCGCTGCCGCTCGGCGCCGCCGCCGCTGCCAGCGCCGACCGTGGGCCAGCGCCACTTTGGGTTCTCGGAGAGGTCCCCTAGGATGCCCCGCAGATCGCTCTGCTGCTGCTCCGACAGCCGCTGATCCTCCTGCTGCTGCCACTGCTGCTGCTGCTGCTGCTGCTGCTGCCGCCGCTGCTGCTGGTGGTGCTGCGACTGCTGTGGGGCTGCCCGCGTGTCGCCCCGAGACCCGCTG